CCTGGGTTACTCCCAGCTCCTCTTCCGCTGCCTCAAAACTCCAGTCTTACTGACACTCTCACACTGTCAAACAGCTGATTAGAATTCATTAAATCTCTGCTTGATAGTTCGAGCTAAGATATATTAAATCAAAGAAATGAATAACAAATGGTGGAAATTCCGGGGACCTGGAAACAGGAGATTTTCAGGAGAACATCCAGAAAGAGAAATGATTCTTCAAGAGCTCCTGGAAACAAACTAAACCAGCCTCTGGAGCCAACCACATAAAATTCTGTTCTTACTCTCTGAGACTGAGCCAGACAAGCATGAGATGCTAATTCCCTGACCACTGGGCTGGGCAGGGTCATTTGCTGGCTGGAAAGTGCATGCCAGCCAGCAGTTGCATTGCAGGGGGCGTGTGAGTGCAGTGGGCTGAGCAGGGAGCAGGCAGGAGGCCAGAGCGGCCCTGGGCCAGGCAGCCATTGGACGTGGCCCGGGGGGGAAGTCAAACTCTTTGACAGCCCGTGTCTGTAAAACAGGGATCATTTCCTCTTCCCAAGAGGCGTCTGCGCTGTGACCTTAGGACAGGGCTGCATGTGCTCTCCCTGGCCTCAGAGCAGGCGCAGCCTGCTGGCCCCAGGTGAGGGACTGGCTTGCAGATGCCCCTCACCCCCCGCAATAGCAGTAGTCACCTACCACGGTCGTTGACCTCTCCACAGGGAAGTGTACCGTGTCACGGAGAGTCTGCAGCGGGAGAAGTCAGGGCTCCTGAAGCAGCTGGACTTCCTCAGGTACGTGGGCTCTGGAGGTGTGTCCCCGGCTCCTCGGGCTGTGAGTCCTCCTGCCTACCCGCGAAGGAACACAGCTGCCAGGTGAGCGCCATCATCGCCCGAAGTATTGTTCGGACAGCTGAGTGCCACCTTGGTACTCTCCAGTGTATGGTTCTGCTTCGTCCATCTTGGTCTCCACCTGGTGCTTTGTAAAGCATTTGTGCACAGGAGAACTGAATTTTATTGAGCATCGACTTGATGCCAGGTACTGGATCTCTTTCCTCTTCCCCAAAGCTGGGAACAGAGGACATTGTTAACACAGTTAACTGATGAGGAAGCTGGAATCAGAGACAGGAAGGAACTTAGAAGAAGTGATGTAGCTACTTACTGGTAGAGCCAGATGGGAGACCTGTATCTGGCTGATTTTTGTCCATCTGCCATATTCCACTAATGTTTATCAAGTGAGTAAAAGAGCCACAAATGAGCCAAGGAGTTTCCTCAACCTGCTGAAACTCAGTGGTAAATGCAAAGCTCGCTGGTCCAGAGTATGCCAGAAACAAGAAACCTGTGAGGAGAGATGGAATTTTCAGTTCTTAGTCCCCGCTGCCTACCTGCCAGATCCCTCTTGGGGAATGGTGGTGGAGCAGAAGGACTCAGAGTTCTGATTTTTAAAGCACAAGTGGTTTTGAGTCAGCTACATTATGAAAGTTTTTGTTTTTTCTTTTTTAGTTTGAAGTTGTGAAAGCCAGGGAAAGTCACTGCGTCTGGCGCCTGTGACGCTGCCCGATTAAAAAGTGCTCTCTTCACCCTGAACGCTCTTGGGCTGACCTCCTTCAATGCATGGTTCCGTAGGGTTTCTAGAACTGGGGAGATGGAGGAGGTCTTTAGCGGACCAAGTGTTAATCCATTTGAGAGAAGAGGGTGAGTCTCAGGAAGGTTTTGGTGACCAGAAGAGAACAAGATGTATAAGGACATGCTTGCGTTTGTTTTTCCTGTTTTCTTTTGTCCTTAGGAAAAAATGCAAGGGCAGATTCAGTGAGAACGAGCAGGGGAGAGTGATGGCAAGCACTGGACACATGCCCGTGGGTCTTTAATGGAGACTGCATCAGTGCAGAATCGCCCACCTGGGGCCCTCTGGGCTGTCACTTGACTTCTAAGCTGAACTCCGCCAGCCGGAAAGGCTGCAAGGTGGAGGGAAGTCCACACAGCCTCCCCCACAGTGAGACTACCAGGTAGCAGGGGCCGTAGGTGACCAGGAGTTAAGGACAGAAGCAGACTGAATGCAGGCATGTGTGAAGGAAAGGTTGAAACTGGCTCAAGGTCACAGGTGCGGCTGGAGGCCACCACAAGCCCCCTGTGTATCCCCCTGCCTCTGAGCAGGTGAACACTCCAGCTACTCTCTGCCATTCACCACTGGGCCCGAGGAGAGACAGTCACACATTTCTGGGCCTTTCCCACCAAGCTGTTCTGGGCACCATCCGACTGGTAAACTGATTTCAGCTCTGTCCACTGAGTAGATTTCCTCTTCTGTCTCCAGGGAAAGGAACAAGCACCTTCGAGATGAACGAGACATGTGTTTCCAGGTAACTGGCCAGTGCGGTCTTCTCCTGAGGGAAGACCAGGACTGAGTGTACTTGGGGTGGACCCAAGAATGCCCCAAGTGCTGGGATCTCCTTTATCCTTTCTGTGTGGGCAGGATGGTGGCAGATTATTTGAAAACAATAAAAATGCCGAATGGCCTGCTGGGTGACAGAGTGTTAGTTTTCTGGCAAGTAGCATGCTTTTTTCTCGGCGTAAGGAGACTCAAATATTTCAGAGGGTCACACATTTCTTGGGTACAGAAAAGACATTCTGGCCATGAGACAGTGCAGTTGAAGTGGCATCTCACTTTTAAATCAAAATGCTCACTTTTTCCTTCATAAAATATTTCACTCTTGATGAAAAATTTGCATTTAGACACCATCCTAGAACAAATTAAAATGTATATTTCACAATCTATAATGTTGATTTTATGTACATTTTTTTGACTCTCTGGGGTCTCCTGCTCTCCCATACCTGAGCACCAGACTTACATGCATTCCAGAATAACATGGACCCCTATATTTATGTGGGCTCATCACTTTGGGGAATGTGAAAGAAAACTCAGGCTTGCCCAGGCTTTCCTGTCTTCACCTTTAGACAACAGTCAATGGGGCAGCATGGACTGGTGTGATTTTTCTAAATTGTGAAGATTATGAATTTCATGGGTGTCCTTGGGCAAGTGATTTGCCTCTTGGCTCAGACTCCCAACTATGGCCTGAAGTAACAAGTCCCTGCCACCCTCCCTTATAGAGATTTTTTGGGAAAAACTCCTGGGTCTTCACTAAAGCTATGATGCAGTCGACATAAGGCAGGTGCATTAGGGCCAACCCAGAAAGCCCCCAGGAACCATCCATACCACCAGCCCTGTCCTGGCACTGAGTGGCAGCAACCATCAATCACCACCTAAAGCCTCGACATGTCTGTCTGATGATGCTGGTGATTATAATTGTTTTAGACGTAACTGTGAATTTATTTTAAAACTTCCATCTAAATGTCAGCCTGGTCTCTTGACCTCATGTCCCTTTACCTGCCAAATTCATTTTGTTTTGATAACAGAATGGAATTAAGGAGCCTAGTGGAGGAGAGAAGGAGGGAGAAGATCATGTTCGAGCACAATAATAATTAAAGATTAATTCGGCATCATTATAACCACAACTTCAGGGGCCGTGGGCACAGGGCTGACCCACCTTCTCGCCTTAAGGACCACAGGAACCATGGTGAACCGTGGGGGTGGCTGGTTAATGAGCAGTGAGTCCTGTGATCTCGCTCTCCTTGGTCCGCAGAAGACATCTGTCGGGGAGTCTTGGCAAAGGGGGCTGGAAGCCTCCACTCCTCCCAGGTTCTCTGCCACAGATCCCACAGATCTGCGTGTGATTTCTAAACTCCACTCGGCCCACCCTCTCGAAAGCTCTGAGATACTTAATCGAGTGTAGTAGCCGTAGACGAGGGATGCATCACTGACCCTGGACTGGCCCCTTTCTCACGTGAGGGTCTTTGGAAACAAACAGGCCTTAGAGCCACACAAAGAGCCTGATGTAAAGATATCACTCACCTCTGACCTCATGTGCCTTTTCTGCCCCCAAATACTTCCCCTTTGTGTTCCACATGGGTCTCTTCAAGTGTCAGCACACCTGAGAAAAATACTGCGGTGGAGACCTCAGGTTCTAAGCTGTCTGGGGGTTTGTTTGATTAGATTATTAGTCAGCGGATGGAGGAATTCTGGTCAAGGTGAGGGCGAGGGAAAGAGCGTGCGGATGCTCCTGGGAGGCCAGGTCATCACGTGTGTGCTTCAGAGTGGGGCTTACAACCTGACCTTCGGTGGGAAAGTTGAGCCCTTTTCTGCTCGAACAGTGGAACGAGTCAGCTGCAAGCATCTGAGGGCATTTTGTGTTTCTGCAGAAAGACAAGGCAGTCAAGGCAAACACAGCTGCGTCGAAGGCAAGCTGGAAGCAGAGATCTGGCTCCGTGATCAGCAAGTACATGGACAGCAGAGGCATCCTTAGAAGGTAAGTCATGGACTGTCCGTTCACGCTGCCCGTGGAGGGCAGGCTGACCCTCGAGACTCGGCTTTGGTGGAGTAGCCTGGGATCACTCCCAGTGGGATATACAGAGCAACCCCCTCGGACTAGACATTGTCTTCTGGGCCAGTCTCACCCTTGAGCCTGCAGGGGACTGACGAGTGCTGTGAGTTGGCAGAGGAGAGCGCTCTGGGGAATGGGCGGCTGAGAGGGGGCATGACACTCTCTGTCTGTAAGCTGGATGGCTGCTCTTGGTTTCATAGATGACTGTGAAGAGCTCTTACGTGTAAGTAATGTGTCATACGGAATCGCCAATGTTGCACTCCTGTTGCAGACGAGAATAAGGTCTGTGCAGGGCAGGTGTCTTTCAATGATTCCTGTTTAATTAACTCAAGAATAGTATTTTGTTGCTGCGGGGCATCCTATGATGAATTTGAGTCCTACAGGACTGGCTCATTGCTCATGCCAAGAGACCATCCAGTCCCCTGCCCTCTTCTTTGGGCACAAACTCCTCCACAGACAAGCCACAGAGAGGCGGAGGGGGCAGGACCCCCAAAGTAGCAAGCCCGAGAGAAGGTGTGCCACCTGGCTTATCTTAAAGGCTCTGAGCTCTGCAAGCCTCAGAGAGACAGACACCAAATGGGAGGTGGCTTCAGAGGGGAATCATGGATGTCAGCCAGCTGAGCAGTCGGGTCTTTGGGCCCAATGATCACAATTTCTTTTCTAAATAGCTGAGCAGAGGGCACAGCTGGGAGCCAAACTGCTTCCACGCTGCAAGTTGCCCTGTTCGTCATGGATGGAATGCCTTCAGCATCCACTCGTTCACAGGCATGTGCTGACTACCCCTCTCAACCAGGTGTTCTTTTGAGCATGTGTAGATTCCGAGGAGAGCTTAGGTGTGCCCAGCCATTGTATCCATGACTGAGTGCTTACCGCTTGCAAGGTATGCAGTGGAAGGCAAAACAGACCCGATCTCTGATCTCAGGAATGTGTGTTTGAGTCAAGGAAACGGACAGTAGCCAAATTGGGAGCTAGGATTACAGGTGTTGCCAGAGGTGACTCTCTCCATGCTGCCGCACAGCATTTGGTGAGAAAAAACAAAAGTGAAGTTAGTCAGGCTAACTCGAAGGTATTACGGGAATGTCAGTCATGCTTGAGAATTTCCCAAATGAAAAGTATTTTCAAGAAATGCTTCATTGGGCCCTTCCCTGGTGGCACAACCGGTTAAAGCACAGCACCGGAAGTGAGCCACAGCTGCTTCAGTGCAAGTTCGTTCCCTGGCCCCGGAGATGACCCACATGGCGCAGCAGACCTCTCCTGTCCCTCCTGCTGCTCCCCTCAGCAGTGTACTTAGCTGATCTGCCTACTCTGCTCCCCATTCTGTCTCTGGTGAGTCTTCTCACTGCCCCTGCACCTCTGGCCTGTATCCTAGTTCTGTATGCATAAATAAATAAGTCTATATTTTAAAAAAAGTAAATCTTTCATTTAGGGTCATTTCTGTCACTCTTTCTTCCATGGTCGCTACTCACATGTGTGCCCTGACGTGCACCCTTGGGTCTGTAAAGGGAGCGAGAGCAGATGGGAATGCTAATTGTATTCTAAAGTAGATAAGCAGTTAATAAGCTTGTTAGATATGGAGAGTTATTTTTTTAAAGATGTCAGCTTCTATTAAAGACAGCGAATTTATAAATAAGTGCAAGCGTCCTTGTAGCACTACAAAATAGTTTATATCAAGAAACCCAAACAAAGTCACCCTTTTTGTGAGCAAGCACTGTATCTTCATTTATCTTTCACAACTGCTCTTGCATTTTTTTCCTATCCCATCCTTTTGTTCATTCCTCAGGAATAACATTATAAGACAATTATTCTAGGAGTTTGTGTGACCTATGTCCTTCACCTCTGTTTCTCCTTTTCCCTTTATTACCTCACCCCATCCCTTTATGTGTTCATACATGTGTGTACATGTATGTGAGTGTGTATGCACATGTGTATATGTTCCAGGGCACCCCTGTGTGAACTGGGCTACTTGTCTGTGGGTCCTCACCCATGCACCTAAAATTTAATGGTAGGCACACACAAAAGCGTCAGTAATGGGTTTATTTACAAAAGGGGAAAGGAAAAGGAACAACCCAGGGAAAGAGAGAGAGATACAAGGTAACTAGAATATCTTACTGGCTCCACTGACTTGGAGCTCTGGTAACTAACTAACTGAAAGCCACAGTCAGGCGGTCCCAAGAACCATTGCCTGAGCGAGAGAGCACTGTTGGAAAAGGGCGTCCTCTTTATCCCCCAAAGTCCCAGAATGCCTGCTTAGCTCCGCCCTTGGGTCCTTGTAGTTCTCTCCCTGGTACTGCTGGGAGTTGTAGTTTCCAATCACTGGAGTAGGGGGTGGAGTCCACAAGACTCCGCAGAGTTCCTTTAGGATATCCTTCCCCTTGACATGTAGGCTGTGTTATTTTCAGTTTCCTACCTCAGACCCTCCTGGTCAAGCTTCTGTTCCCTCTAAAAACGTCTCAGCTTTAGGTGCTCATCGCACCCCAAGAGGAACCCCTGGTCCAGGAGCTGAGGTCTCTTTCCCAAACCTTGAAAAGACAGCCTGTATTTAGGCCTGTTTCCTCGTCGTGAAATGTGGCCCCTGGGGGGGGCTGTAGACATCACGCTCTGCCTGACTCTTACATTTGAGCCCCCTGATGGGTCACATTTTATGATGAAGACACTGAGGCTTGAAGTGCTTCAGCCAGGAACACACAGTCCGTGAGGACTGGCCTTGGGCCCAGAGCTGCGGCTGCCTGATTGTTCACGATGTTTCCTTCCTGGATCTGTTCTGTTCCTTTCTTCAGTCTTTCCTTCTCCCTCACAACCCTTCTCAACTTGTAAAAGTGTGTTTATTGGTGTGATTATTGCACCAACCTCCCACTGCCAAACATTCCTTGAGCACAGGGACTGTCTATCTACTCTGGAATGTATCTTTAGCTTAATATTTGATAGTGAACATCATTTGCATCACCTTTATTATCATTATCACCTTCAACACCATCATCTTCTCCTCCAGCATCACCTTTGCCATCACCTGCCCCAGGATCCACTTCATACAGGTGTCTCAAGCTGACGAATGCAGGGTCTGGCTCTTGCCCACACTGGGAGTCCTCCTCCCCAAGGCATGGCTATGGGTCACAAAATCTCAGATAGCACTCCAGCTTCCAAATGGATGTATTTTATGATATTCTCTCCATTCTTCTTTCTCCCCCTCCCCCGAATAGCCAGTCAGAAGAGGAAGAAGATGTGTTTGGCATCCCAAGGAGGAGAAGTTCCCTGGGCTTGAGTGGGTATCCGGCTACAGAAGAGGAGCCAAGAGCCAGCGAGTCAGGGACTGGGGGTCCCCTCCCCCGGACACTCCGCAGAATCATCTCCATTGAAGAGGACCCTCTGCCTCAGCTCCTGGAGGGCAGTTTAGAGCAGCCACAGAGCAAATGCACAGAAGAGGAGGAGGCCTCCCCTCAGGGTGTGGAAGCCCAGCAGGCCCCACCCGTGGGCATCCTGCCCCAGTCTTCTCGGGGGCAGCCTGTTGGGAAAGAAGCCTGGTCAAAGGTGAGGCACCTCCCACCCTGAGTGGCGGTCAGTGCAAAGCCCTGTCCCTCCCGTGTCCGAAGGCAGCTCAGGAAGTCAGATGGCCTTTGTCTTGTGAGTCACAGGAGCTAGGCCCTTCACATACCACCTTCCCTCTTTACCTGAATGTCACCAGGGAGACTCATGGGTTCTGGTAAATTCTACTTCCACTTCAGTCATTTACCCTCTCCCAGCCCTTGTCTCTCTTTTTAGATTCAGATGCAAAAGCAGGTACGGAGCACCTACTTAAGGCAAACTCTCAGCGTAAACAGCACAGCCTTGGGTACTGTACTTCTGCGCTTCTGTCTTAGAAGTGTCCAGAGCAGTTAGGAGAGCTTGCAGACCAACATTTGTCTCATTTCTTAATCGGCTGTCACCCCCTCTTCCCAAAGTCCTGGCTGCTCCTTCCCACAGTGCGATCATCCACTATCCCCCAAGCTCTGCCTGATAAATTCTGCAGGGAGGAAGAGGCCATCTGGGCCTTCTTCCATGGTTCCTCGCCTTGTTTGTGATCCAGGTCAGAAAGCAGACTCACCACCCTCCACTTGACCCTCTAAAGCCACTCAGCCTGTCCCTGGCAAGCGGACAAGCCTCCTGCCCCCCCTGGCGCCCTGTAGAACGAGCGCTCGCCCCTGGGCAGCCCCCCGGGGCCGCACTAGTGAGCCTGTCTGTCTTGTGTCCTGTCGCCTCCTCCAGGCCACTGCCCAGGGCTTCTTGGCAGCAGTGACCATTCTGGGGCCCCGATTAAGACTCATGCTAATATACCAGTCTCTCATTGTCCCTGGGCCACAGGCGGACTAGAGAAGTGGGTGACGCCTGGCGGGTGGGGTCTCCTCCCCACTACATGCGCAAAAAAACCTCTAGAGACAAGCGCCCTCTCCTGTCCCCTTTCTCAGCCATGACCTTCCTCCAGGGACGTGGGGCATTTGTTCTGTGCCCAGGTGGGGAAGAGGACGATTTGTGAAATTTGTATAAAGTCTATAAATTAGGGGGAAAAAACCAACTATATTATCATCTCAACAAATGCAACCCACTGTATTTGTTCTATGAGAAGCACTTAACCCCCAAATCCACTTTTTTTTTTTTAAAGATTTATTTATTTGTGCTTACAGAACTGGGGTACAGGCCAGAGGCTCAGGGGCGGCGAGAGACTTCACCAGAGACAGAGTGGGGAGCAGAACAGGCAGATCGACGAAGTACACTGCTGAGGGGAGCAGCGGGCGGGTCAGGAGAGGTCTGCCGCACCATGTGGTCACCTCCGGGGCAGGCGGGGATCGAACTCATGCGGAAGTGGCTTTAGATTCTCAGTGCTGTGCTTTAACCCACTGCGCCACCAGGGAGGGCCCCAAATCCACTTTTAAATAGACACTAAGGAGACTCCTTGCGGGCCAGGCAGTGCAGGGCGGGGCTGACGCAGGATGTGGGGAAGAGCAGCTCTCTGGAAAGGTGGTGACCTGTGGACAGGACCCTGCCTCTCCCCGGCTCCCTGCCCTAGGGTGAGGGCCCTTCCCCGGGGCGGACCCTCCCTCCGCAGCTGGGTGACTGGTTGACTGAATATGATAGATCTGGTGTGACAGGTCTTCCCGACACACCAGTGACAGAAGTCCAGGATCCCCAGGACTGATGACATGGAACAGAAAGCCAGGGGCCCTGTGCTCAGTGCAGGCTTCAGTCCAGCTCCCCACCCTGGCCATGGCTGTCCCCAGCACTGTGACAGGCAGAGCCCCTTCCTCGCACACACCCACCTGCCCCTGCCCTGTAGGGACCCCCCTCTTTGGGGACCGTGCCTCCCTCCCGTGCTCTGCCCACCTCAAGACGTGATGACTTCCCAGCGTCCTTCGCTGCACCCTCAGCCAGGCCTGGCCCCGGCCTGCCCCTCAGCTCCAGCGTGGGAACTGCAGTGCCATAGCCAGACAATGGATGGCGATTGAAGGAATGTTTCTGCCCTCCTGCGGAGTCTGGAGGGGCGGCCATGCCTGCTCCCCGCTGCCTGCATTCTGAGGCGGTGGACAGTGTGAGGACGGGCAAGGGCAGGCAGTGGCATGGGCCCCCCGGGCTTGGCTGGACACTCTGCCATCTACAGGAGGAAAGGACTCCGCCCACCCCAGACCGGCTCTTCAAGATCGTGTTTGTGGGCAACTCCTCCGTGGGGAAGACGTCCTTCCTGAGGAGGTTCTGTGAGGACCGCTTCTCCCCGGGCATGGCAGCCACTGTGGGTGAGTCTCCTTCCTAAGGCAGGGGCCGGCCCATGCCCGGAGGGGGAGGAGGAGAGACGGGGACTGGGGAGGGGCTGGGTGCCCAGAGGGCTGGCCCATGGGAGGTGGTGATGGGAGCATCTGAAGTCCAGCCCTGGGTGGCACTGAAGCAGCAAAGGTGGAGTCCAGCCCTGTACCCCCTTGTCAAGCCCATCTCTCTTTTTAGCATCCGTTCCCCCACTCCCAGTAGAGGCCTGAAGCTTCATCTTCCTCAGGATCAGGCAGGACAACCTGAGACATCCGCCCCTGCCCCTTCGGCCAGGGCCGCGGCTCCCCGGCCTGCCGGTCCCCGTATGGGTGCTCTGGGTGATTTCTTTCACCTGTCAAATTTCACTTGTCCTTCTTGTCAGGCCTGGACAGGGAGACTTGGGGGCATGGTGGCAGCATTTTGGGCTCAGCTACTAATGGATACGCCCGGCTGAAGGGAGCCCCTCTCCTGAGGAATATTTATTCACCCAGCTCACTCATTGCACTGGAAAGAATGACCCAAGGCCTACTGACCTTTAGCTTCAACCAAGTGGAGTCGCATAAGAAAAAAAAAAAAATTAATCCATTGAGTATTGACTATGCACGATTTAACCAGGCTCATAAATTAACTGTGCTTGAATATATATTGGCATGACTTATGTCTAGCGTCACGACAGCCCTGGGGGTCGGTATTGTTATCACCCAATAAACAGACCAGGTCACTGAGGCCTAGAGAGTTTAAGAGGTGTGTCCACGTGCCTATCAGCTGGCTGGTGGGTGCTGGTGCCTCCATCCCGCCACCCACACCTGTTCTATTCCACTTCTCCGTTCCCCTAACAACACTGAACTGTGTGTGCTTTGCTCCGGTGAGTAATGAGAACACTTTCCTGCCAAGGGTGGGGTGCAGGAAGGCTGGGGTTCGCAGTCATCAGAAGTCCCGGATCTTCGAAGTTGCCAGCATGTGGCCCCAAGAAGGCCTGTTCCTTCTTTGAGTTTGTTTCTTCCTCCTCTAAAAATGGAGGCGTTTGAGCAGTCACTCAAGAATGCCTCCAAGCTGAGCTTCTGTCCTGACCCTCTTTGATCCTTGGCTGTCTAACATTTGACTCTCCCTGCCCAGAGCCTGACCCGGGAGACTCCATTTTCTTCCTTTTATCAGAACGGGCCCTTCCAAGTTTTCTCCTACAGAAATGGGTTTCCTCCACAGAATTCAGGTGTTTCATTCTCACCACTGAGCCTTTCCCATGGTCACCTCCAGAACACCTCCATCCCGTCCCTTCTGCCCTTTCATCCAGTGACTGAGAAAATCCCGAGGAGAAGATTGAGGCCCCAAGGGGAGAAAGGACTGAGCCTGGAATCCAAGTCCAGGAGAGTCTGGCCTGGCCTGCCCTTGAGAGGAGCGGCTGGTGTGAGCCAGCGCCCCTGAACCTTACCGGTGAAGCAAGTGACTCTGGCGTCCCTGCTGGCCCTGTTATTCTCAGGGTGCACGAGCACCCCGCTTTGCTCAGTCCTGGGCCCTATGCACTAGCCTTTGTCTGGAGACAGTGCTAGGAGGGCGTCTCCCATCGCCGCCTCTGGTGTCTGCTGTGTCTTCTGTGTCTGTCTACCCTGGCTGCTTTGCTGCTGCCCTGCAGCCTCCAGAGCAAGGCCCTCAGCAGCCCTTTGGAACATGGAGCGGAATCCTCCATTAAAAACAAATAAAAGACTAAAAAAAAATCAATGAAAAAAAGGTGGGCGGGGATTCCTTCTGGTCCCAGGATGTGATACCTAAAGGGAAAAAGGCCTTCAGAGTCTTGCTCAGCACCGGCGACCAGTCGGGTGGGATGCCAGAGGGAGGAGGGTCTGTTGTCAAAGAACCCGCATGAAGGTCCTGGTTGCTGTCGCGAGGGACAGAAGCTGGCTCTGACCACGGCCCTCTCGTGGCGCTTGGCGATGGCAGCGAGGGCCACAGCTCAGAGAGGTGGTGGTGGAAGGCCCGGGGCTGGGGCCAGGGGTGCCAGGCCCTTCTGCAGGGTGAGCCTTGTCTTTATTCTCTTCTCCCAGCCCTTCTCAACTCTTCCGTCCCTCGTGCCATGGCCAGCCCCTCCGTGCCACATCTGCTCTTCTTCCCCTCGATGCTTCCTCTCCTGGTCCTCCTCGCTGCATGGCTGGTGGGAGTCTTAAGTGTGGTCCACCCCCCAAGGATATGAGGTTTTGTTGGAGGAACTTGGAGAAGGATTTAAGGGAGAGACAGAGACAGAGACAGATAGGGAACAGTCTTTCCTTCTGCTAGTCACCATGAGAGAGTAAATCCATGCGTAAAGGCAGCTGGCTTTCATCCGTGTGACCACTTTGGGCCCCGAGGGGGTGTGCCTGTGGAACTGTGGGGCCGACGCCCAGAGACAGTCATCGGTCAGGCCCCACAGCCAATAAACGGCAGTCAGGCGCAGCGCACAGGGCCCCTGCCTCGCTGCTGTCCTGCGCTCTGTCCACGTCCTCACGTGGCGGCCCACGGACCACACGGAGAGCGTCCCCTCGGCGCCAGATCCCAGCTTGGAAGTGACAGGCCTGTTCCCTCCCGCAGGCATCGATTACCAAGTCAAGACAGTGTGTGTGGACGGCTCTCAGGTGGCCCTGCAGCTGTGGGACACGGCTGGGCAGGAGAGGTGAGGAGCTGGTTCCCCCTGGGCAGCAGGACCGGGCTGGGAGCGGAGGGGGCACCGCTGACCGGCTGCCCATGCTGGCAGGTACCGGTGTATCACTCAGCAGTTCTTCAGGAAGGCCGACGGCGTCATCGTCATGTACGACCTCACGGCCAAGCAGTCCTTCCTGTCCGTGCGGCAGTGGCTGAGCAGCGTGGAGGTGAGCCGGGGACCCTCCAGGGACGCTTGTGCTGGGCCCTGGTCTCCCCTTCCTCTGCCTTTCTCCACCCGGTCCTCCGTGCTTTCAACACCTTGCTCCGAAGCCACCTCCCCAGAACACCTGCTCCAGGCGTTCCCGCGAGCATCCTTCCCACGGCCCGCTCCCGGGCTTGTTCCCGAGGACTCCGAGTGGACAAGTCGGGCCCGGTCCTGCCTCACAAGAATGCAGACGGTGCCATTGGGTTAAGTGCCATGAGTGAGTGGCACAGGGTTGGTGAAGGGGGCACAGAGAGGAGTGCCAAGGAGGGTTTCCCAGAAAATCTGTATTCCAGTGGAGTCGCTAACACCTCCTTCTAGAACCAGCCCCACTCTGCCTCTCCCTGCCCCCTGTGTGGCTCAAGCTGCAGGGGTGCCTGGTCTGTGGGCACCACATGGCTTCTCAGGGCCCCCGCCACAACCCTCACACGAGGGAGGGTTGGTCTACAATGTGGGGCTCCGGGCTCACCCCAGCACGAAAGGCCCAGGCAGGCCCGCAGAACAGCCTTGGCCTGGAGCTGTGTGCTGCTGACTCTTGATCCGCATTTGCAATCAGTCGCTTTGTCTGGCACTTTGTGCGTCCTGCCAATCTGCCCCTTCCTCCTCTACCATCTGAACCAAGAGCAGTGTGGACAAGCCCGTCTTTTCTTTTTACGGGGCCTCAGCTTGTTCTTTAACGAGCAGTCGAGTAGGATGCCCAACTCCTTCCACTGGGAGGATCTCTGGCCATTTCGTTGTCCACAATCCTGCTGGGTGCTGTTTTGAGTCTGGCAGTTGCAGTCACAGATAAAAGCCAGCGTCGCTGTGCTCCGGGAGTTTCTGTGCAACTCTCTACCCAAGCTCGTGAGACCCGGCACAGCCCTCCCTCACCCACCACCGTGCTGCTGTCAAGGACACATTCGCCACCAGGCAGCCCCACATACCTTGTGCATGCACCCCCTGGACCCCCAGAAATGAAAGGGCCCCTCAGCTATGTGCCATGGAGGCAGATGCGTAAAGGGACCCGGTGGTGCCAGGGCGCCGTGGGTGAGGGGTTCCTTTCTCCACCCTCTGCTTAGCTCTGTTCCTGCTTCCCAGTCGGTCTGTTGCTCATAGGCCAAACAGCTGGGCACTCTCTCTTCACCGCCAATCCACAGCTCTCTCCTTACCAAGGAAAGCAGGGAGCAAGAATGGAAGCCAGATTCCAGGGTCTCCCAGCAATTTGCTCAATACAAATTATTTCTCCAAAGTATCGTGCATAAAGCATTTACATTGAGAATATGTATGTTTTGCAGTGTAGTAAATGCCTCTACCCTGAGCTAAGCAAACAGTGTGGGAAATCTGGAAGGGATTCCTCAGTGACTTTGGAATTATGACATGATTTATGACAGCTCCGGCACATCTCTCTTCTCCCCTAAGTTAAGCACCAAGAGAGATTTTAGAGAGAACAGGATCCGGCGGGTTTCGAACTTTCCTCCCTGGAGCCCTGGATTCAGACTGCCGCTCCCTGGGAACCTGGCAGGGCCAGGCAAGGCCTAGTGATCACACCTGTCAGGGACACTTCCTTCAGTTGTGTGTGTTGGAGACCCAGATCCGATTCTGTGAGACCAGAGGGTTTCCCTTTCACAGTCACTGCTCAAATGCAGCCTCTCATTCTCAGGGAATAAATGGGTCACAACTTCTCCCCCAGCTGTGGATGTTTAGCTGTCCCCCAACATCTGGCTTTTGCTCTCTTCTAAAGTCAGGCAGCGGCAGATCACAGAGTGTGAGGTGGGGGGGGCCACGCTCCCCGGCGTGCTCAGGGCTGTGGCTTCCAAGCCTCCTGCTTTGCACAGAGCCGGCTGCTGAGCCCAAGGTGTGAAGCACCAGCCTGAACCTGGTGTGCTGGGCCGGAGGCGAAGCACCAGAGAGCTGGCATTGCTGTCAGGCAGGATTGGGCTCCTCTCCAGGAATTGGGCTCCTCTCCTCTCCTGTGACTCCCCAGGTACCCTGCACGGGGTGGGGTGGAAAATCACGGTCAGTGCAAGTGCAGCAAGAGGCCCAGGAAGCCGTGTGCACCTGTGGACCGGGAAGCCCAGCTGAGGGGCAGGTCCATGTGTGGTCCCCACAGAGCTCCCGCGTGCAGATGGGCCTTTCAGCATGGAGGCTGGGTTGTCTTCTCTAGCGCGTTAGCCGAAGACCTCATTCAACTGTAAGGGATGCTTCCAAACCTGGATGAACGTCAGGATCACCTGTCAAGTTTTCAAACACACAGGTGCCAGGGCCCTCTCTCCCCACAGAATGACTGGGGCCTACACATTTCAAAAAAGGAAGGAGGGAAGGAAGGAAGGGAGGGAGGGAGGGAGGGAGGAGGGAGAGAGGGAGAGAGGATGGGAGGGAACTTAGTAGCTCCTCAGATTTTGCTCAGCCGCCATGGTTGCCGGCCTTAAAGACACCTCCCAAACTCTAATATCTATGGGACTGTCAAGGGGGTCTTGTTAAAATACAGACTCTGTGGGGGCCTGAGCATCTGCATTTCTAACCAGTTCTCAGGCGCGGCCGATACTGCTGGTCCAGGGACCACACTTTGAGAAGCAAAGACTCTGAGTCATCCTCAAAGATATCTGTGTTCCTTCAGCAAAACATTTGTGAGCCCGACCCTAGGCCTAGGCCCTGCTCTCACCAGGCCTTCAGGAGGACTTGGGGTGAGGGCTCAGGAATCTGTAGAGTTCGTGGGCCCTGGGTTCTGGGTCAGGCGCGGGAGGCCGTGTCAGATAGCGTGTGCATGGAGGGTGTGGAGCGATGGCATCACACATGCGATTATTCTTCAAGATTCTTGAAAAGCTAAGTCATTCTGCCTTGGCAGCCGGCAATCAGAGGTGTCAAGTAATAGATTTAAACCTGACACCTAATTTGATCAGAAGGGAACTGAAAATAATAAGTACTTTGTATATGTGGGGCACCTTATTTTTCCACAGAGCTCCAAGCACTTTGCCAACTCCCTCGCTTGGCACAGGAGGGTGGAGGGGGAGCTTTAATAACAGGCTTCAAGATCTGAAGCCTTATTATTAAGTGAATACTGGCCAGCTGTTCTCAGTGCCCCTTCCTCCCTCAACCTGAAAAGCAATTCAAGAAGAGAGGGCCTAAATTGCCACCAATTAAACAAGGCAAAGACTTACCCTTGCAAGAGGTTGTGGGGGCTGGGAACAGATGCTTGGGGGCGAAATAGAGTTCCCCGGAAACGAAGTTCTTGCCATTCCCAGCTCAGCCACTTCCTGGCCATGAAACTTGGGCCATGAGGGCATAGGTAAAGCCCCTACCAGGTTTCTCTTGGCCCCCACATCCACAGGGCATAACCCTCGGTCACAGGCATAGGCACCGGCAGGAGTAGGTGTGTATGCAGACAGAGGACGCTGGAGGAGACTTCCAGCCCAGGGGAAACCAGAATCCTTTGGCACAGGACACCAACACTTCCCTCGTGTCACCGAGTGAGAAAAGCCTGCCATGACTGTCCGGCCCAGACTCGCTGGTCCTCTCCCACCCAGGTGACTTTATCTGGCCTGCAGGCCTCCTGCACAAGAGGCCCATTAAGGTCCAACAATGTGGATCTGTGCTGGAGAATCTGTGCTGATTCTCTTCCACTCTACATTTCCTGTGCACTCACCAGAAATCAGAGTTGTTCACCTCTGATGTCAAATGGGGCCTTCCCAACCCACCCGCGCCCCTGCTCAGCTACGCGGGCAAGGGCCGGTTCAACGAGCGTGGTGGAGAGGAGAGCTGGTCAGGCTCTAGGGGCCCCGTGGCAGGGACAATCTGGACATCTGAAGACTGCGGGGCCTGCATGACCAGGCAGGGAGCCTAGGGTTTGGCACAGGCCTGCATGGGCGGGTGTCTCCCCCACATCCACATTGTCGTTCCCCTGCGGCAACGGCCCTGGCGCGCTGAGCTTCCCTTCTGTTTGTCGCCGAGTGGCTCTCTGTTGCTAGGTCTGTAAGTCCGGGGCAGGGACGATGACTGGCATCACTGAACCAAACTCCACAACCTGGAGTTTCATCAAATGCAGGCTCTTGTTTTATGGATGAGCAAGGCTGAGATCCAGAGAGAGGAAGTGGCTTGTCCAGAAGCGCCCCCAGAGTGTCAGATGGCACAGCCAGAGCTCGGTGCTGCTGTGAGCTTCTCTCGTCACGTGGCCCCTGGCTGGCATCTGCTTCAGAAAGATAGGTGTGCATTTCCCTTCCAGGCCTTTCTGCTGCCATCTCAAAGCAGAGCAGCTCTTTAGCCCAAAGGGATCAGGACACTTTCCTCTCCCTTCCCGGACTGTTCGCTAACTCCCCTTTCCCAATCTTTGTCATCGCTGACAATGTACAGCACAGAGCGAAAAATAGCAGTTTGATTTTTTCCCCCACATTCCAAGTTGAGCTTGAAGTGCTGGCAGTTTAAAACGAACTACACAAATAAATCTTGTTTTGACTCATAGTCCAGGGGGTGGATAAATATGGAAACCCCCAAGATATAATTTTGCAGTCATTTTTTTCTTAGCATAACTGCATGCTTTAATGTGCTGAGAAATTTTTTTTTGTTCTGGCTCCAGAGAAATAGCAGCACTATCCCAGTTAAGTGCTTTTTCTTGCCTCCCAGCAAATAGATATTAGAGTAGACACACACACACACACACACACACACACACTACAGCCAACCCAGCCCAACAGCTGTACATTTGAGCTGAATGCCAGACCTCAGCTCCGAGTTGACAGCTCTTGTTATTTAAAGTCAGAGATGGATCATCTTTTGAATTTCAACAAGTCTGTCATCCAACAAGCTCAAGTTCAGGGAGAGGCATCCAAAATGATAGAAGGTATAAGGAGCTCATGTGTCAGCACAGAAAGCTACTTAGAGGCTTACTTCACATCCAGAGACAAGAGACCCAGAGCAGGGGAGCCAAGTTGCAGGCAGATCACCCCCAGAGAGATTGTGCTCAAGGAGCTTCGAACCTTTCCCTCTGGTTTGGCATCCCCGTGGGATGTTACCAGCACCTATAAAAATGTCAATGACAGAGATTGGGTGGATGTGTTCTCCAGGGGAGGTGTACTTTAGACTTTTAAGAAGTGGCATTTCCTCGAGTGGATCATCATAAGCAGCTAAAGACTCAGATAGGTAAGTGAAAGGGTCGAGTTTAGGCAGAAAGCTTAGGACTTGAAGTCAGGACTGTGACAGGGAACCCACCCAGCACACACCCTCCCCCGTGGCCCGTTAGACAGGGTGACACCCATGGGTGGCCCGCGATAGGTCACCCTAGACCTTCTGAATCTTTCTTGTCTTTGAAGACAGGCCTAATTCCCCTTTATCACCACAGGCAGGTGGGGAGGTGTGTGCGTGTGTGTGTCTTTGGGGTGGGTGTCTAGAGTAATCTACAAGAGACCACCACAGACAGCAGACCGCAGCTCCAGCAGGGAGCATGGGCCTTTTTTCTGCTCCTTCTTAATTTTCTTTTATACATCCAGGATGGCTCTGAGGAACAGGACTGCCTCTTTTTTCCCAAAGAGCTGCACACTGTCTCAACATGCAGGGAACTGAACAGGGGGGTGCCTGACCTCAGTGTGGTCACTCAGCACCAGGACCAGCCATCCTCTTTGCTACCTGGTTAGAATTGTGCCCTGAAATTTCAAGTCTGATGCTCATATTTCCAGAGAGTTTCCTTGTCAAGAAATCCCACAGCCTTAGTCATGCCTCACACATATATCTACAAATATCTCTCTCATGTGCTCCAAACACAAGCCTTTGGCCTACTTCCCTGCTTCCGCATTTTTCTGTGAAAACTTCCCATAAGTTTCGGCGGTGCTCCCAATGACCAGCCCTCTGCTTAATAGGATAATAGGGATCCCCAGCTTTCTAAATAGCCCCTTAGGGGGTGTCTCACTTGCCAATAGTTGGACCATGGTGTCCCCTACTAAACACCCCATCACTGCACAACTTCCTCTATTTCGGGTTAGAAGACACTGAGACTTTGTGACTTTGAACATTAACTACCATCTTGGATATGTGGAAATCCTGCGATTAGAGAGTTGTAGTTAATGTGACCCTAAGAATCTAGAGAAAACATTTAGGGCATTGTAGACTCATCAGGGGCCTTCATAACCCAGCAACTTTGTTCTTTCCCATACCTGTGGGTTGCAGGGCTTTAAAGTTCTCATTTAGTAAACAGGAGGGTTTTTTTTTTTTTTCATTATGGAAATGCAATAAAAAATAATACATAGATGGAGAAGGCAGTGAGGCTTAATTTGAAATGTGATTGCCTTTTAACGTCAAATAGGTGTACTTCCAGATGGGCTGTAGACATTTGTTGGAAATGGTAAGGCAAGAAGCCCCACTATTGCCAAAACTGTAACTGCTTGTTAGCTTCCGTTCCCCCACTGTCCTCTCCATTTAGTAAAACATTTAGCTACAGTGAATAACTATTGGTTACCAAATTATGATTAAAAGCCCCTAATTAAATATCTCACAAAGTAAAAATAACAACCTGCCTAAATGTGAACATTACCATATTTACTCACTTAATAGCTCAGTGTCCCCCGCTCTTTGTTCACCCCCAGGAGAGGCACAGTGGTGCAGCATTTCAGCAGGGAGGGCCATCTCAGGGTACAGAGACCAAGTGTGTAGACACCCCAGAGAGCAGCGCCTGCTGGCAAGCCACCATGTTGGAGGAGGAAATAAGCTTGATCCTTGAATCAACCTGTCAGTACTGGCTTCAGAAGTGCAGCGGCTGTGGCCACACAGAGCTGCCTTCGGAGACGAGCACCCTACCACAGGCATCCTAGTGCCCCTGGGGGGTGTGGGGCACCTCTTATGAACAGAGCCATCTGGTGGGCACCATGGACCCAATTCAATGAATCAGATTTGGATCCAGACCTCAGGGAGTGTCTGTGCCCGATCAGAAAGCCCTGGAGATGTTACTTCCCGTCAAAGTGGCCTCGAAACAGCTCTAAACCACACTGCAGTCACCTCGCAGGTTCCTTTAGATTCAGCCAGGTCGTTGAGGAGTGCAGGAGTGGTGCTGTCAGCCTGGAAACAGACCTGTAATTCATCAGTGCCACTGTGCCCTCAGCTGCTGCCACTCCCAGCACAGTCCCAGAAGCCTGCGTGATCCAGCCAGGACCCAAGAGTGGGGAGAGGGGGCGCTACCAGATGAGGCCTAGGAGGTACCTGGACACAGGCCTTGGCCACCTAGCAGAAGCCGGGGTTTCGATGAAACGTTAAGCCCCAGTCGGCCTCCAAGACACCGTCCTTGCCTGACCGGTGGTGACAGCAGAGTTCGCTCAGCCAGATGCCATCTTTCCAGCCGCACCTTAAGCCTGCCCTTCTGGGTTCTCCTGCGGATGCTTCTCTCACTAACCCAATTATCTATTCTATAGGAAGCGGTGGGAGATCACCTTCCTGTTCTTCTGCTGGGCAATAAAATTGACAATGAGCAAGAGCGGGAAGTCCCCCGGGGCCTCGGAGAACAGCTCGCCAAGGTAAAGAGTGGGCACTTCCACCTCTCTGGTCACGGCTGGCCCGCGGGCAGCTGGGCCTTGGCAGGAACTTTGTCTGGAAGCCCCTTGGGAAGGAAACAACCCCGGGAAGGTTTGAGGGGTATCCTGGCCTCATAGGAACGGCCCAGCTCCTACGCGTGTGGAACTTTCCATAGAAAGTCACAGATTGAAAGATGGATGGGCTGGGAGAACTAGGACACAGGGAAGCTTCCCAAGCTCTGTTTCTTGAGCTCAGCATCACCAATTCTTAGTAAGAAGTTGCTTCTTCCAGTCCCAACTGATTCCTGAATCCCATCATCTGCTTCCACACTCGTTCTCCGCAAGGCAACATGCTCTTTCTTGACCAGCTCTGTTCCAGAGCACACCCTTCCCATTAAGACTGAACCTCAAAGCTGTGAACTCGAGATACTCAGCGCATGCGCTGGAACCTTCCACGCAAACACACGTTCGCTTTCTTGTCCAAGCCAGGATCCACCAGGCTCCCTGGAATTTGGCAACAGCACCCACAGATCCCCAGCTGCTTCTGTCGCCCTGAGGGGGGCTTAGGGAGCTATGTGCTCGTGAAGGTAGGGGGACCTTTCCCACCTATGTGTCTATCATCCTGATGTGCTTGCTCTGAGCAGGGATGCGTGACCTCGGGGGCAGGGAACATGGGCACAGACCGTAAGATGCAAGAAAAAGTGTGGCGGCTCCGTGCCCAGTCTCTCGCCCACCGTCCCCAAATCCAGGAAGCTCTGAAAGTAAAACACACTGCTGCCTTTCATCTGGCAGAAAAACCTGACCAGATTGGACATGCGGCTCTGTATGGTCTCTGTTTACCTCACTTAGAATAAATATTCAGCTGATTCACTGACGACTCCAGGGCACTGTCCCAGACCACTGAGGGCAGGAGATACATGTCTCCTCTTTCTAGAACCCAGAAGTTCTGCATTCCAAAATAGCTGTGGAGCCAATGATTTTGACGAAAGAACTGGAGACCTTTATTTTTATCATCCCATTTTATTGTCTCTTGCCTTTTATGGTCAGTGAAAAAAAATGCTCAGAGAACTTCAGTGATTTATTTAAATGATCACCCAGCTCCTCAGTGGTGAGCTCAAAATGAAGCAGGAAGGCAAACATGCCTCTCAGCTCTGGGTCGTCTGCATTTCCCTATCTCTCTGTGGAGTCTCAGCTCTCCCACAGCCCTGAGTCAGGGTCTGCAGAAGTGACGATGGGTGGGGAGAGCAGAGGCCAGAGTGGGGCCTTCAGGGGCCTCAGGGAAGCTGGATGGGAGTCCGAGCTTGCAGAACTTCCTGATCTGCCGTCATGGCAGCGTCCTCGGCTACTGCCCACATCCCCACAGGCATCAGCCTCCGGGGCTCAGCACCACTAGCACTGTGTGGAAGTAATGAATGGAAGATGCTGGGCTTTGGCCAAGGTCGCCCCTCCCGCCTGCACACAGCACAGCCTCCCCCGAAGGAAGGAATGGGCGCATATCCATGGCACCTATCCTGACGCCCCGGCAGCTGGAGTATTAACTGGTGTGAAGAGAAATTTCCTCTGGGATGACTCAGTGACATTTGCCTCCAAGGTCCCGGAGTGCCAGTGTCCACGACAGGCAGGCTGCTGTTCACTAACTAAAAGCAGCGCCTGAGTGGGCCACTACCCTCTCTAGCCTCAGATTTCCTGCCCGTGCACTTGGCCTCTGTCTTTGCCTGATCCAGGCCATCTGAGAAAGTATAAAGCAAAGAGCAGCAGATGGTTTTGTTGTCTTACCGTTGTTACAGCTCACCTGGGAGATGGTTCTGGACCCTGTGTCAGCCAGGGGGCCCAGACAGACAGAAGTTAGCCGTGCGAGGACAGGGAGGACATTGTGGAAGTCACTGGGACGGCAAGAGGAGGCCAGGGCAGTAGGTGGAGGTTAACGCGGTGTCGCCCGCCTCCCTGGGGTGCCCGCTGACTCCTCCAGAACTCTCTTTTATTCCCTCTGCTCCGTGGCCCCAGGAGAACAATCTGATCTTCTATGAATGCAGTGCCTGTTCCGGTCACAACGCCAAAGAGTCCCTGCTCCATCTGGCCAGGTAAAGAGTCACAACCCAGCAGGTGACGGGTGCTTGCTGCCCTGGTATGGGGTGGGGTGGGGCTGCTTCACCTCCACACCACGCTTGATCTCCTCCCTTTCTGTCGGAGTAAAGGGAACGATGGCCTGGGCCTTTGTGGGGATTGCAGGGGTCAGTGACAGCCTTCTAAGGTACAATAATGGGTAGAAAAAGAAAGCCCCCTGTCTTCCAACTCCCCACTGTTGACTTTGGAGTCTCAAAGCCTGCCTTTCCCCAGGGATCCTGATTTAAATGCAAACGACCCTGGGAAAGGTCATACCATAGGCCCTCTATACTGCTGACACATGCAGGCGTTGTGGCCAGCCAACTGAGAAGGGTTATTATATAGGTTCTGGGGGAGGAGGAGGGGTCAGGGAGGATAGACTGATGGAGGGTCCTGATCCAGGACCCAGCTGGATGACACTTGAAGACTGATTCTCTTCCTGTACTTCAGTTAAGGAAACAAAACCACACGGGGATTCATTTTCAACACTCGGGCACTCACTCATTTGTCCATCTAAGCATTCGTTTTATTCCATCCATCCTTCTATCCACTCATCACCCATTAGCTCATCCGCTCAACTGCCCCCCCACCTACCCACCCATCCATACACAGGCACGCCCCCACCCACTCCCCCATCTACCCAGACACTCACCCGTTCACCTCCCAGTCATCCACTCACTCACCTACCCATGTATCTACCACCCACCACCCATTCACACACCCATTCATTCATCCACTTTGAAAGTATAAACCAGAGTGAAGACGCTAGCTCTATTTTTAATCTGTCATCTCCTGCATTAAGTGTAGAGCTAAGTACACACAGGCAGCCCTTCTATAGAATGAGTGGCCAATAAATATATTTTCTGAGTCGCTACTGTGTGCAAGACAGAAAATACAATCTCTGCTCCCAAATAGTACATTCTCAGCTGAAGGTGCTAGTGAAGGAAGCTGAGCGTTATGGCACCAGGTGACTGAGGATGACAGAGGAGCGCAGTGTTTTGGGGAACACCTGCACCAACGTCCTGGGGAGGCTCCCTGGAGGAGGTGTTGCTTAACCTTGGCTTTACAAATTATTGCCATGTACCTCTGCTTCACGGAGGAAGACTTGCAAGATTCTTTCTGAGGCTCTGGTGGAGTTAGGTTCTCTCCGGACCACCCAGAGGCCCATAGCCCCAGGGTGCTTGGGGCAGCTTCGAGTCCTTTCCACTCCTTACAACTGACACTGTTCTTTCCCCTCTTGCAGGATCCTCAAGGAGCAAGAGGACACAGTGAAGGAGGACACCATTCAGGTTGGCCACCCTGTCAAGAAGAAATCCTGCTGTGGCTGAGAGGAGGCTGCCCGGAAAGCTCCCCGCTGAGGTCACGGCCCATCCAGACCTTTGTCCTTGTCTGTGGCTTGCCTCCTCCAAAGACAGGGAGGCACATCTGTTTGGAAAAGTGGCTCTTGGGACATCTTGGAGTCTTCTCTCCTTTCTCTCTCTAGACCCAGATGCCCAGTCTTTTTTTCCCCCAGCTTGATTTCCTGGGGGGAGAAAACAGATGGGGGTTTCCAGAAAAACCAGCACATGCCTGCTTCCGCTCCAGTCTCCTCCCCTTGCCCTTAGGAGGCTCAGTGCTACGGTTGCCATGGCAACTGCGGGGGTTGACTGGCTGCTTCCTGTAGGCCAAAGCAGCAGAGCTTGGGCCGGCCAGGCTGGTTGGTCTGCTTGGGCTCCTGCTCTCTGCAGGCTAATGGGGAGAGGAAGCAGAGCAGTGTGGCCACATGCTTCACAGAGCCTCAGTGGCCTGTGCCATGTGGCCAGAAGCACAGCCAGGGCACCCACCTGCATCCCACCAGGGTGCTTCCCGGGCCCACAGCCCAGCCTCTCTCAATGCCGTGTGCACCCCATGACCCCTCACCCCTGTCCAGGTCCTTGGGAGTAGCCCCTCACAAAGACCCACAGCTTTTCCTCCATACCAGCCCCCACAGCCCTGAAGCCAAGATGGACTGTGGGTGATGCACTTGTGCTGGGTGAGGGAGGGGCTTCCTTCCATCTTGACAAAGACATGAAAAGAAAACCAGGGAGAACCCACCTGCTGCTAAAAAGAACCACCATTTCTGGAGGCTATAAATAAGGTATATATAGCTAGGCAAAAGCCATTTTCTGAATGTTTCTCAAAATAGCTCTTCGAAAAATCGTACATGATGATTAACTGGGTAGATTGACACACAGGCAATGAGCCCCAGCACCAGGTCCACAGTTACTGACTTCTGATTGTATTTCATTTTACTGTGTTCCAGAAGCCTCTGTGTGTGTGTGTGTGTGTGTGTGTGTGAGTGTGTTTTAAGTGTAGCTGTGATATTGACATTTTGCTGGTGCTTGAGAAGCTGCAGGTTTCGGCACCCTTAGGACTGCACAGCACCCGGTGCTTGGGTACAGCGATGCTCTGGGCCTGTGTGTGCTTCCTGTATCCGGTGGCGCTGAGTGTCAGTCCCTGGCACTGACCCCCGCATCCCTAGCTGGCTGTCACCACAGCTGGGGAGGGCGCTCTTGCCCTGGTGGGAACTTGGGTGAAAAGATGATCAAGATCGCTGCCAATTACCATGTCAGGCTCGCAGACCCAACCCCCATGGGAAAGTAGATGTGTTCACTCCTAGCGGGGCACACAGGGAGGAGGAGGGACAGAAAGTGTCCCCAAGCCTCCATGAGGATGGTCCTGGCATGTGTAATCAGTCAGCTGGGTGAGGAAGAAGTGCCAGAGCTCCCAAGGGTGCCCCCTGCAGCCCCCTCCCAGACCTCCAAAGTATCAGAGCCCCCTGGGTCACCAGGGGAGCACCTACCTCTACTTTGCCGACTTCACTGTCATTAAGGCTCCTGGGAGCCCCCAAAGCTGCAGAGCAAGCCCGCGCGTGAGCACCAGGGAGCGCTGTGCCACCTTGGGCAGCCTGGCTCCCTTCTGGCCTGCCTGTCATAAAGTGAAGGAGTGTGTGTGGGGGGGGGGGGCTTGATCTTCTCGCTCTCCTTGCTCAGAGAGCCTGTGATGACTTCTTCATTTTCCAACTTGGGCTGGCTCTGGTGTCCAGTTCAAGGGACACACAGGAAGGTCCCGAGAGGCGTTGGCAATGGCCCCTTGAGGGATACAGGGAGAAGGGAAGGGTGACCCAGAAGTGACCTCCCAGTAACTCTGTGTGGTTGTGTGGATGTGTGTGTGTGTTGGGCGTGCAGAGGGTGCTATTTAGGAAAATGTAAACCAGCTATCCTGCTTCTGACGAAGAAAAAAAAAAAGAAACAAATAGCAATTGCGATTTATGGGGAGTCAGCTTGTGTCTGGAGTTCCCTACGCCTACCCCTACAAAACCTAGTCCCTGGCTTGGGCTGTATGTCCCCACTTAGAAAAAGTGCATTCAAGGTTTAGAGTCGAATGGGATGACCCTAGTACCTAGCCTTCCCTCCCTCCTGTGTGGTGAATCCCCACATACCCTCAAGGTGCTAGGCAGAAAGAGGGGAGCAGAGAGGCCTGCAGGCTTTGATGCTTCCTGCTGTCACCTGACTTGGAAAACAGTATGGCGGATGGGGGCTTCGGAGAGAGGCTCAGAGCTGTGTCCCAGGCCTCAGCACCTCTTCTCCCCTCAGTGATCAAAGCACTCAGTGGCCGTCAGCCTGAACCAGAGCCTGACAAAGCATCTCTGGCTCCACCCCGTTTACACTGTTGAGCAAATCACTTAGCCGGTTTCGTACTCGTCTGTAGATTTGTAGGTTTCAATGTCTACCTCACAGGGGTGTTCTAAGTATTAACAAAGGTTTGTGTGAAGTACTTAGCGCGGTGCCTAGCCCGTAATAGGGCTAGCAAGCAAGGGCTATTCCTACCGTCAAGTCTGGGTTTGCTCTGGCCCAAACCTTTCGTCTTGCCCATGTTCATATTTAGAACCAGCCAACACCTTCTAAGTGCCTGTCAGAAGGGGGCGCGCTCACGTACACTACCTCTGGGGGTCTGCGTCCCCAGCCCAGGGGCACCTGCCTTTGCCTCTCAGCCTAGCTTTCCTTTCCCTGTGGGTTTCCAGTCAGTGACCACATTGTACCGGTGCCCACTGTCTGGTTTTGAGGCCTTTCCACCCTCCATGCTTTGAAGACACCCATCCCATTGTCCCCGTCTCCATGATTTCTCAGGCAAATCAGCTTATGGAGGATCCTTTTTATGTTGATAAGTTGCTTCTCTCTCTTTGCTTTCAGAATTCTTTTTTGTTGGCTTTCAAGCATTTGATTTTGACATATCTAGGAATGGATCTCTTGAATTGGCCCTGCTTGGAGTTTTTCAACTTCTTGAATGTGTAGATTAATGGCTTTCATTAATTCAGGACGTTTCTGGTCTTTATTTCTTTAAATATACTTCTGTTCCTTTCTCTTTCTCCTTTTCTTCTAGAACTCCGATTATGCATATGTTAGCAAACCTGATAATGTCCCATAGGTTTCTGAGGCTCGGTTCATTTTCTGTCATTCTTTATCCTTTGTGTTGCTCAGACTGAATAATCTATATGGTCCTGGCATCAAGTTCACTGATTCTTTGTTCTTAAACTTAAGTAGGCACTTGGGACCCTCAAGAGAATTTTTCATTTCCATTATTAGTTTTCAACTCCAGAATTTCTACTTGGTTCCTTTTTATCATTTTCTGTCTATTTGCTAATATTCCCTATGGTGAAACATTGTTCCCACACTTTCCTTTAGGCCTTCAGATGTGTCTTTAAACATATTTAAAATGGGTGATGTAAATTTTCAAGAACCTCATGTCTGTAGCCTTATCTCCCCTGTGCACAAATCAAGCTGTCTTCCTATCACACTGCTTCCTTCCTCACACCGCACACACGATCGTCATTCTTGACCTTATTAATCTCATCCCTTCGCCCACCTCTAAACTCTTTCCTAGGCTTTCCTCTCTTCTGGAGTTGGGACAGGATGTGAACTCATAAATCCTCCCCTCCACCTTGAGCTTCTGGGTGCCCTGGTCATTCTAGGTGTCCCAGGCCCTTGGACACCTCAGCAGCATTCCCAGCCCTGCCAGGAATGCAGATAGTCACAAACCTTTATTCAGAAAGATAAGTGAGTGATGACCATAAATCAAAGTTTCATTAACAATAATTTTATTGTTTCAAAATAATGATACCACCATATATAAGTCTACAAAAACCAGCCTGTTTTCACCAGCTAGAGGAGAATGATCAATTGGCTCCACAAACTCTCATCAAGTATAGTCAAAATTCGTAGAATTTTACTTTATAAATTATTCCCTTCTTTTTATGCTGGTGGTGTGGTGGTGTGTGTGTGTCTGGGCAGGGTGTAGGGATGATGGATGTTGACTGCTTGATGGGATATAGAAGCTTTCTAAACCTCCCCCACTTCCTGACTCTATTAACGTTTCTATTAATAGCATGTTAATTATTAGCAGTAGCAGTAACAAAGAACATCATAACTCCACCTTTCACACCATTCAGTGGAACCAATTTAATCGAAGTGCCCTACTTAGGGAGCGCTTTGTTGGAAATGATGGGGACTGGGAAACCAGATGGTATTTCGCAAAGGACTTGAAGTCAGTGTGGAGACGGGGGAGCATGGTGAGGTTTTGTCATTTATCATCCTGGGACCAGAATGAGTCAGGTTCTCGGACTGGGGCTTTGACAGTGGTCGAGAAGTGCTCCTTGCAGTCTCTTGTTAAAGCACCAGGAGGTTCCTCTCCCAACAAACGAAGACTTTTAGGACCAGTGAGACCTGTGCCATCATAATGAATTATGATTGGGTCCATCTGACCTATAATCATAAATACCACATACAAAAACACAGCTTTACTAAGCAAAAAATGCCCAAAGTACAGGAACACAGAAAATGGATTTCTTTTTTTTTAATTTGAAAAGGGGAATTGAAACATGGAGCTCAAGGGGCTCTTCTCAATTGAGTACTGTGACAGTGGAGCTGAGAGGCACTGAGCGTGTGCAGCACTAGGTCAAGGGCACAGTGTCGGGGGATGAGCCAACATCTGGTCCATGGGCTCTCTGGGCCATTCTGTAATGATAGTGTGCGGTGCTTATTTATGCTCACCACCTCCCAGGGCTCACCTGAGCAAAATGCACTGGACCATGCTCCCCGGGGCCAAGAACATTCATCTCAGTTGCCTCATGCTTGGCACGGAGTCTGGAAACAATGTTGGCATTGTAGGAGCAGTAGAGAGCAGAGCATCATTTCTCCAGAACAAGGCTACCACGTGGTGAGTCACTTCACTGGAGCCCCAGGACCCAGCAGTAAAACAACTGGGCCCCTTGGCCTGGCAGATGCATGGGGTTTACCTCACTGGTCCACATGAGATGCTGCTTCTGGCTTTTAGCACAAAACACTAAGGATTCCCGCTACTGCTCTCTGGTGCCCTTTCAGACAGCATGAGCCC